CAGACTCAAGATAAGTACTAGCAACCCACCATAGCCCACCTATTGGTACTAGCAACGAAATTTAACGCCCAGCTCTCTATACTGGCAACTGGCTACAACAAGTTACTGGCGCCCACCACATCCTAGCAGCTCATTAGCGTAAGTTGCCAGCGCTTAGCTAGTACCAGCAGCCTGCACTTGAACACTGCCAGCGCCGGTACTAGTACTTTAGCGGTCAGGGTACCAGCAACAGGCTCATCAATGTGCCAGCACTCACTAAATTACAACTCCCAGCACTAGGATAGCAGCGTCTAGTTGCCAGCATGGAAGCTGAATAAGTTGTCAGCAACAACCATTCAAATAAACAGGCTAGAATTAGCCTTGCTCATTAGGTCTCGAAGCATTGCCAGCAACTACCTGCATCAGTTAGCACTAACTTATCAAACAAATCCATGGACTACATACAGCAGCTAGACTTGCTTCTTTTAAAGAGGCCTTTGTCTGTAGGTGACAACATGCATCAGCTAGACTTGCGTATCAACAGAGGCCTAGGGCATTGCCAGCAATTCCTATTATCAGTACCCGTCTCCCAGGTCGAAGCTGAATACAAGGCGCGTGATAGCTTGTTTTGCTGCAAATTTTATCATTTCAAAGTTAAGTATACATCTTCACTAGAGCGAAGTGTTGATTAAAATGAATATAAAAGACCTGAACATACATTTGTTTCTCTGGCTTGTACTAGCCAGCCATCACGAATCACGCATTAATTTTAGCACGCCCCAATAAACGTGTTAAATTAAACTAAAAACCACGGACAATATAGCACATATCCCAAAGGCCAACTTTTGGTTTGTGATTTTATATTGAGAACTAAAAATTGCCAGAACTCTAGTCATGGCAATGGTTTGCGCTGCCTTAGTTAAACGATCTTAACATGACGGCACTGAGTTTTCAGAGCAACACCCTCTCCTGTGAAAAAGTCACCATGTCCCTAGATGAAAACGCCGATTGTGGCAGCTTCCACGAAAGTGAGGACATCGAAACGCCGGACTTCTTCGAAGAAAATTGCAACGAAGTCTCTTTATAAGGCGCGTGATCGCATGTTTTGTTGTAGCTTTTAGGCATCTAAAGTTAAGCATGCATATCGCTTTATTACGACTAACCAGGTAGATAGACTCATTAGCTTTATCGGATGTGGCACTTGGACTTAGCAGGAACTTTGTACGACTCGATGCGACATAATTTTTTGCGTGAACCTGGGAGCCGACGTTTATTGCCTGGATAACGCTTTTGAGCATTACGTAAATAGTGCCGCTTACAGTTGAGAGCCTCGCCCCGGCTGTACGTGCCCTAGACGGAGTCATTAGCGGCAAGGATGACCTATACCTTCCTCCTAGATTTGGACATGTATATCTATTCCACTTTCTGGGATCACTGAAGAGCAGAATAGAGCGGGATAAAAAGTGTGGCTTTATTGAGGCAAAAAATCACGTTACCAATGCTGCGCTAGCATATGAGTTCTATCGTAACGCGCAAGACAACCCCACCACCACAAGCCGTTTGCGTCGTCTTAGACTTATAGGAAACCGCTGGAAAGACGCTGTTGGCTCCTTACTATTCCTATTGCTAGCGTTCTCTAAAACCGCGGAATCCTTTGCGTAAGCGCATTCAAACCTTAAGCTAAAAATTATAGCTAATATTGCGTAGAAAATACCCTTTAAAAGCAGATAACAAGACATTTCGAAGCCTGGTTCTGAAGGCTTTAAATGATATGCCGGAGGAGCTGAAGAACGTTTGCCATGAGCTATCCATTATTGCCGAACATGAGGCTGCCAACAATTCGTCCCCTGATGACATACTTAAGAGTGGGCTGAGGGATTATGTGAAAGAATGTCTCTTGAGGCCCAAATGAGGAGAATTTACGGCGGTAGATTAAAGATTTTAGACTCTCATGCGCAACAGACGAGGTTGTGAACCTGAAAGATGAGAAGTTTGAAATTATGAGAAAAGGTAGTGGGATCCTTGCATCGTCGCAAAGAAGTAGCTTCATGCTATTATTCCACAAGCATTGCTAGATTTAGGAGGCTTTGACTTTTATTTGATATAATTATGGTAGATACACGCTGAGTAAGAGTGTATTTTTTGGTTTTCATAAAAAATAATCTAAATATAGACTGAAAACTTCAGAGTGGTTTTAATTGCCCAGTAGCTTATTGAATTCAGCTTCATGCCCGCTAATCCGCCCAACAAACGACTCTAGATCGGCGAGAGCTTGTCGGCAGCAACTTAGCGTCTTGTTCCATTTGTCCATCATAAACTTCGCAGTTTGCCCGATCAAAACAAGCCAGGACTTTATAGACTTTTCGTGTGCGCGGGCCATAGAGTAGTGTTCGGTTGCTGTCAAGCGAACTTGCGCCGCCGTTGTCGACGGCGGCGCGGCTGCCGGGTTAAGCAAGGACTGCAGAGACATACCGGCTGGTTCCTTCACAAACTTAGGAAACTAAAGTACTCCAAAATATCTCTTCTGCTCCATAGAATGCTGCACCGTATCTATAGGGAGTTCGACATAGGTATGCTATTTTAGATGGTTCAAATAACGCACTTAGCACTAGGTTTATTTTAATGCGGAACTAGAATCAATGTAACTGCTTAAGCGCGACACGAGTAAGAATATGCAAGGCCATGGACAGTAGACGCTAGAGCACGTATTCTTAAAAAAAAACGAAGGAATAATTGAATTAGCTTGGTGCTGATGCATTTGTAAAACTCGTAATACGATGTCCACACAAGAAAGCTAGTGCTCGTGCTGCATCCTAACCATCTCGCAGTGGTTGCTGACCTC